GATTGGGGAGAATGGGATGGGGGGGTGCTATGGGGTGCAGGGAGTGGGGACACTGGGGTGGGGGATGCTATGGGGTTGGAGGGGTTGGGGACACTGGGGTGGGGGGTGATATGGGGGGAAGGGGTTGGGGACACTGGGATGGGGGTTGCTATGGGGTGCAGGGAGTGGGGACACTGGGATGGGGGGTGCTATGGGGTGCAGGGAGTGGGGACACTGGGGTGAGGGATGCTATGGGGTTGGAGGGCTTGGGGACACTGGGGTGGGGGATGCTATGGGGTTGGGGACACTGGGATGGGGGATGCTATGGGGTTGGAGGGCTTGGGGACACTGGGCTGGGGGGTGCTATGGGGTTGGAAGTGTTGAGGACACTGAGGTGAGGGATGCTATGGGGGGGAAGGGGTTGGGGCCAGAGGGGTGGGGGATGCTATGGGGTTGGGGACACTGAGGTGGGGGATGCTATGGGGTTGGAGGGGTTGGGGATACTGGGATGGGGGGTGCTATGGGGTTGGGGGGGTTGGGGACACTGGGATGGGGGGTGCTATGGGGTGCAGGGAGTGGGGACACTGGAGTGGGGGATGCTATGGGGTTGGAGATACTGGGATGGGGGATGCTATGGGGTTGGAGGGCTTGGGGACACTGAGGTGGGGGATGCTATGGGGGGGAAGTGGTTGGGGACACTGGGATGGGGGGTGCTATGGGGTGCAGGGAGTGGGGACACTGGGGTGGGGGATGCTATGGGATTGGGGACACTGGGGTGAGGGATGCTATGGGGTTGGAGGGCTTGGGGACATTGGGGTGGGGGGTAATATGGGGTTGGAGATACTGGGATGGGGGGTGCTATGGGGTTGGAAGTGTTGAGGACACTGAGGTGAGGGATGCTATGGGGGGGAAGGGGTTGGGGCCAGAGGGGTGGGGGATGCTATGGGGTTGGAGGGGTTGGGGATACTGGGATGGGGGATGCTATGGGGTTGGGGACACTGAGGTGGGGGATGCTATGGGGTTGGAGGGGTTGGGGATACTGGGATGGGGGATGCTATGGGGTTGGAGATACTGGGGTGGGGGATGCTATGGGGTTGGAGGGGTTGGGGACACTGGGGTGGGGGGGATGCTATGGGGTTGGAGGGGTTGGAGATACTGGGATGGGGGGTGCTATGGGGGGAAAGGGGTTGGGGACACTGAGGTGGTGGATGCTATGGGGTTGGAGATACTGGAATGGGGGGTGCTATGGGATGAAGGGCTTGGGGACACGGTTCCATTGGGGACGCAGGGCTGGGGGGCTTGGGCTCGGGGACGACGCATCCCCAGCACCTCCATTGCTGTGTTTGCTCCCCAGTGCTCCCCATTCCCAACGCCCCCCCAGCCCCCATTCTGGATTTTCCCACCCTCCATTCCCACTGTTTCCCATCCCCGTTTCCATTCCTCCCGGTTCCCATCCCAGATTCTCCCATTCTCCATCCCCAATATTCCCTGTCCCCGTTCCCAGTGCCGCGTTCCCAACGCTCCCCCCCCAACCCCCTTCCCCGTGCCCCCACTCCCCCCCACACACATGGAAGCCATTTGTGGATGGTTGTCTCCCTTTGAAGGGCTCTGCAGCCCCCAGCCCCACTGCTGCGTGGTGACCGCAGGGTGTGGGGGGTCGGGGGGGGGGGCAGGGGGTGTCCCCTCACCCTGGGATGGGGATGTTTCCATCCTGGGCTCAATGAGCTGCAAGTTCTGTGCCAACCAAACTCGTGGTGTGGGGGCAAAGAGCCCCCCTAAAGCTCGTGGCATAAGGGCTGAGACCCCCCCCCCTTCATGTCACATCCTGGGCCAGGTGAAGGAAAGGTGGGGATGGGGGGGGAAGGAGGGGAAGAAGGGGAGAGGGTCGAAGGAGAGGAGGGAGGGGGGATGAATTGAGAGGGAGGGAGAAAAAGAGGGAGGGAGGGGGGTGTGGGGGTGATGGAAGGGGGTGAGGAAAGGATGGGGAGACGGAGAGGGACAAAGTGATGGAGGGAGGATCAAGGGAGGGGAGAAGGTGCTTAGGAGGGGGGAGGGAAGGATGGGGAGACGGGAGTGGAAGGGCAGATGGGGAGAGGGAAGAGACAGAGGGATGGTTGGGGGATGAAGGGGAGGATGGGGAGATGGAGGGAAGGGAAAGGAAGGGAGGAAGGGAGGAAGGGAAGGGGAGATGGAGAGGGAAGAGACAGAGGGATGGTTGGGGGATGAAGGGGAGGATGGGGAGATGGAGGAAGGAAAGAAGGGAGGAAGGGAGGAAGGGAAGGGGAGATGGAGAGGGAAGAGACAGAGGGATGGTTGGGGGATGAAGGGGAGGATGGGGAGATGGAGGAAGGAAAGAAGGGAGGAAGGGAGGAAGGGAAGGGGAGATGGAGAGGGAAGAGACAGAGGGATGGTTGGGGGATGAAGGGGAGGATGGGGAGATGGAGGAAGGAAAGAAGGGAGGAAGGGAGGAAGGGAAGGGAGATGGAGAGGAAAGAGATGGAGGGGTGGTTGGGGGATGAAGGGGAGGATGGGGAGATGGGGGAAGGGAGGAAGGGAGGAAGAGAGGAAGGGAAGGGAGATGGAGAGGAAAGAGATGGAGGGATGGTTGGGGGATGAAGGGGAGGATGGGGAGATGGAGGAAGGAAAGAAGGGAGGAAGGGAGGAAGGGAAGGGGAGATGGAGAGGGAAGAGACAGAGGGATGGTTGGGGGATGAAGAAGGGAGGAAGGGAAGGGAGATGGAGAGGGAAAGAGATGGAGGGGTTGGTTGGGGGATGAAGGGGAGGATGGGGAGATGGGGGAAGGGAGGAAGGGGAGGAAGAGAGGAAGGGAAGGGAGATGGAGAGGAAAGAGACGGAGGGGATGGTTGGGGGATGAAGGGGAGGATGGGGAGATGGGGGAAGGGAGGAAGGGAGGAAGAGAGGAAGGGAAGGGAGATGGAGAGGGAAGAGACGGAGGGATGGTTGGGGGATGAAGGGAAGGATGGGGAGATGGAGGCAGCGGTGCAGGAGGGATGTTGGGTCCTGATGTGCTGGAAGCAGAGAGGGGCAGCGCTGAGACCCCCCTGCACAGCCCCCCCCCCCCCCAGCCCCCCACTGCCCCCACAGTCGTTGGTTCCCCACTCATTGCTCACACAGCAGAGCGCAGCTGGAACTGCCCTGCAACCACGGGGCCGGGGGGCTCCTTCACCACCCCCCCCAACATCTCCCCAAAACCCCCATAGGGCCCCATAGGACCCCCCACCACCCCCAAAAAAAAAACACCCCATAGGATTTATCCCCCCCATAAGCATCATCCCCACCTCGGGGTCGACGCCTTTGTCCCAGTTTGGATGACATGGAGGTTGGGGGGGGCGGGATGCTTGGTGGGGGGGGAAGGGAGTCCATGGTTGTTGGTGTTCATTTAAAGGGGGGGTCCCAGTTTGGGTGACACGGGGGGGGGGCAGGGGGGAGGGGGCTTGAGGGGGGAGGGGGGGGGACGGGGGGGTCGTGGTTGTTGGTATTCATTTAAAGGGGGGGGTCTCAATTTGGGTAACATGGTGGTGGGGGGGGGGGGATGGTTGGGGGGGCCGTGGTTATTGGTGTTCATTTTAGGGGGGGGGGTCCCAGTGCGGGTGACATGGAGGTGGGGGGGGGGAGAGGGGGGGCCGTGGTTGTTGGTGCTCATTTTAAGGGGGGGGGGTCCCAGTTTGGGTAAAATGGAAGTGAGGGGGGGGTGTTCATGGGGGGGGGGGGGGAAGGGGTCCGTGCTTGTTGGTGTTCATTTTAGGGGGGGGGGTCCCAGTTCGGGTAACATTGAGGTGGGGGGGGGGGGGGGATGCTGGGGAGGAGGAAGGGGGGGCCGTGGTTGTTGGCGTTCATTTCGGGGGGGGGGGGCGCGGTTGTGGTGTTCGGCGGCGCCGGTGGTTGGGGCCGTTATTCAGCGGCTGCGGAGCGGAAAGCCCTGAGTCAGGGCTGGGAAAAGGCCCCGCTGGCTCCAGAACGGGACGTTTGGGGGGGTGGGGGTGGGGGGGGGCGGAAAGAAAAAAGAAAAAGGAAAAAAAAAAGGCCAAAAAAATAATATTAAAAAAGAAAGAAATGGGTTCGGATCAACCTCAGCTGGCAGGGAAATGGAGGCCCCCGTCCCTGTCCCCTCCCCGGACCCCTCGGCTGCTCCCCTCCATCCCTGCCCCCCTCCCCATCCCATTCCTTCCCGTTCCCATCACTGCTGCCCCATCCCCAGCCCCTTTCTGTCCCCCCGCTTCCCCTCACTCCCCACTCCTGGCACCATTTCTACCCCCATCCCACTGCCACCCCCGTCCCCCATTTCCCACCCTGGATCCCCCTCCTGTTCCCATCCCTGCTCCCCCATTTCCACCCCGTGTCCCCATCCCTGCTGTGTCCCCAGGCGTCGTTTTGGGCTGCTTTCACCCCATGCCCCCCATCCCTTCCCCTTCCTGCCCCTCTTTCCCTTCTGCCTTTTTCTTCCTCTCCTTCCCATCCCTTTTCCCTTTCATCTCCCCTCCTCCTCCCCAGCCCTTCTCTCCTCTTTTCCTTTTCCTTTTTCCCCTTTTTCCTTTCCCCTTTTCTCTTTCCCTTTTCCTCTCCCGTTTCTCCTTTTCCTTTTTTGCCCTTCTTCCCTCTCCTCTTCCTTTTCCCCCCTTTCCCCTTTTCTTTCTCCTTTTCCCCCCTTTTCCTTTCTTCCTTTCCCCCTTTCCTTTTCTCCTTTTTCTTTTTACTTCTCTCACTTTTCCCCCCCCACTCATCTCCCACTTTTTTTCTCCTTCCTCCCCCCTCTTTTTCCCTCCTCTTCCCCCGACCTTTTCCCACTTTCATCCTCATTTCTTCCCCTTTCCCATTTCCCTCCTCCTTCCCCCTCCTCCCCCCTCTCCTCTTTTCCTTCCCCCTTCCCCTTCCCCGTCCCCTCCCGCCCCTGCCCCGCCGCCCCCCGCCCTATAGGGGCGGTTCGGGGAGGGCTCCCGGCCCCGGTCCCGGCCCGGCCCAACCCCGGCGCAGCGACACTGCGGGGCGGGCGGCGGCGGTGCTGCTCCGGCGGCGGACCCGGCACCCCGGCAGCCCCGACCCGGCACCCCGGTACCGGCGGCTCCGGCCCCCCCGGAACCCCCCGTCCATTCACCATCCATAGCAGCGACCTCAGAACAGCGGTAAGGATGTGGGGACAGCGTGGGGACGCGGGGACGCGATGGGGATTTGGGGACGTGGAGATGGAGACACCGTGGGGACACGATAGGGATATGGAGACATGATGGGGATATGGGGACACGGTGGGGATTTGGGGACACGATGGGGATATGGGGACACGGTGGGGATATGGGGACATGGGGACACGATAGGGATATGGGGACATGATGGGGATATGGGGACACGGTGGGGATTTGGGGACACGATGGGGATTTGGGGACACGATGGGGATATGGGGACATGGGGACACGGTGGGGACATGGGGACACGGTGGGGATATGGGGACACGGTGGGGATTTGGGGACACGATGGGGATATGGGGACATGGGGACACGATGGGGATATGGGGACACGATGGGGATATGGGGACACGATGGGGACATGGGGACACGGTGGGGATATGGGGACGTGGGGACACGGTGGGGATATGGGGACACGATGGGGATTTGGGGACATGGGGACACGATGGGGATATGGGGACGTGACAGGGATATGGGGATGTGGGGACATGGTTGGGATATGGGGACATGATGGGGATTTGGGGACATGGAGACACCGTGGGGACACGATAAGGATATGGGGACACAGTGGGGATGTGCGGACATGATGGGGATATGGGGACACGGTGGGGATTTGGGGACGTGGAGACACCGTGGGGACATGATAGGGATATGGGGACATGATGGGGATGTGGGGACGTGGGGACACTGTGGGGGTATGGGGACAGCCTCAGCATTGTGGGGTTCTCTAGGGCTGGATGGGGGACATCTGGGGACAGGGACCCCCAGGGCAGGCGAGATCCCACTCTCCCCATCAGGATATGGGACCTCCAGGGGAGGGGGACCAGCAGGATACAGGAATCCCCCCAGGGGGGAATACAGAACCTGTGGGATATGGGATCCCAGGATACAGGAATCCCAGGATACGGGACCTCAGCGCAGAGGACCTTTGGGATTTGGGACCTTTGGGATGTGGGACCTTTTGGGACCCCTGGGATATGGGACCTTTGGGATATGGGACCTTTGGGATTTGGGACCCCTGGGATATGGGACCCCTGGGATATGGGACCTTTGGGATTTGGGACCCCTGGGATATGGGACCCCTGGGATATGGGACCTTTGGGATTTGGGACCCCTGGGATATGGGACCCCTGGGATATGGGACCTTTGGGATTTGGGACCCCTGGGATATGGGACCCCTGGGATATGGGACCTTTGGGATATGGGACCTTTGGGATTTGGGACCCCTGGGATATGGGACCCCTGGGATATGGGACCTTTGGGATTTGGGACCCTTGGGATTTGGGACCCTTGGATATGGGACCCTTGGGATATGGGATCTTTGGGATATGGGACCCCTGGGATATGGGACCTTTGGGATTTGGGACCCCTGGGATATGGGACCTTTGGGATATGGGACCTTTGGGATATGGGACCCCACATGATTCAGTACCCTCAGATTTGGGACCCCCCCAGGACAGGCAGCACTGGGGTTTGATGGATACAGGAGTTGGGGCTGCTTTCAGACTGCTTTCAGACTGCATCCTTGCTGCCGTGGGGACACCAAGGATGGCACCCAGGGGGACAGCGGGGTGCAGTGGCTTTGGGTGGCTTTGGGGTGCGGTGGCTTTGGGTGGCTTTGGGGTGCGGTGGCTTTGGGTGCTCACAGGGGGGTGGACGGGGATGAGGTGCAGCGAGAGCCGCCACCGGGACACGGCTGCCCCAGGAGCTCCAGTGCCCCACACTTGGGGATGGGGACACGTCCGTCCCCAGGGCAGCGTCACCCCAGGATGTGTCTATGGGGACACGTCCGTCCCCAAGGGTGGTGCCTCTCCTGACCTGGTGACAGGGCCACGTCTGCCCCTGGCACAGGGCCACCAGGACAGCCGTGGTGACGCAGCGCGGCCACCGCAGCCCCTGGGAGCCGTGGGGACCAGGAGATGGGGACACGCGCGCACACACACGTCCCCACTGTGTGTCCTTGTCCCCACGCCGGGTCTCATCCTCCCTCTTGCTGTCCCTGTCCCCACCTGGCTGTCCTCCACCCCAGCAGGGTCCCCAGGGAGGGGACAGCACCCAGCGCCACCTCTGCCCCGTGCTGTCCCCAGGATCAGATCCACCCTGCGAGCAGGGACAGCCAGGGCCAGGATGGTGACATTTGGTGGCTGTGGATTGAAGGGAGGAGTGGGGATGGGGAAACTGAGGCAGGGGACGAGGTGGGCGCTGGGTGTGGGACAGGCACTGAGGTCGGGGCTGGGGACAGCGGCACCTTGGGGACGGGGGCAGAGGAACGGGGGGTGGGGGACCCAGAAATGGGTTTGGGGACGCGGGATCGAGGATCTGGGATGGGGTTTGAAGACATGGGAGTGGGGACAAGGGAGCAAAGGATGATGGGCCAGGAATGGGGTTTGGGGACATGGGAGCGTGGATGGGGACAGGGGAGTGAGGACTGGGGACAGGAGATGGGGCTTGGGGACATGGGATGGGGGGCAAAGGACTGGGGATCAGGGACCTGGAAATGGGTTTGGGAGCACAGGACAAGGGGCGAGGGACTGAGAACGATGGGCCAGCAATGGAACTGAGGGACAAGGGAGCAGGGATTGGGGACTTGAGATACTGGGGTGGGGTTTGGGGAACACGGGGTCGAGGATTTGGGACCAGGGATTGGGAACGTGAGACAAGGGCTGAGGTGTGGGGGACAACGAGGACTGGAAACGAGGGGAACTGCGGGCTGGGGGACCAGGGAGCGACTTGAGGGGGTGAGCAGCCGAGGATTGGGGAGCGCAGATGGGGGGGACCCCAAAGCCAGGAGCAGGAAATTGGGGACGGAGCGACACCGGCAGCGGGGGCTGAGGGGCACAGGAGGGGCTGAGGGGCACAGGAGGGGCTGAGGGGGGAACCCGGAGCCGCCCCATCCCACCCGTGCGCTGAGCTCACGCCGTTCTCAGCCCGCATCTCCCTCGTATCCCGGATCCATGGGAGCCGTGCACTATTTTCAGCTCCTGGTCGGACGCTGGTTTCAATTAGCGCGGCGGGGCAGCGTTCCCGGGGCACAGCCTGGCCTTGTTATCCTTGGAGGGCCGCGAGCGCTGCGGCCACGGCTTAAAAATAGGAGCAATAACCAAAGAGGGGAGGAAGGGGGGGGGGTGTTTGGGGGGGGGGGGTGATAAATATATTTGTATAGATGTATGTAAAGCTGATAAAAAAGGGGTAAAGGGGGTGAAAGGAAAAAAAATAAAAGGGGGGTGCTGGTAGTGGGGGGGTGAGGGGGGGTTGTGGCTCGTGCTGCCGGGTCTCAGCCTGCCGCCGTGGGGCTGCAGGGAATAAAGCAGAGGAAGTTGCCGGGGGGGGGGGGGGGGGGGGGTTGGGGAGAGGCCGCAGCATAATTTGATTAAAAGGGCATAAAGGCGTCGGGAGCCGAGATTGGGAGGGGGGGGGAAGAGGGGAGGAGAGGGGGGGGGGGGGTCTCAGCACAGCCCCACTACGAGCCCTCCGAGCAGCCCCTGTGTGTGGGGTGGGGGTGGGGGGTGGCCCCATGGTGCTCGGCTGCACCAGATGCTGCTCTGTGCTGTGCAGTGGGTGCCCCATTGCAGTGGGTGCCCCATGGTGGTGGGTGCCCCATGGCAGTGGGTGCCCCATGGCGGTGGGTGCCCCATGGCGGTGGGTGCCCCCTTGTAGTGGGTGCCCCATTGCGGTGAGTGCCCCATTGCAGTGGGTGCCCCATTGCAGTGGGTGCCCCATGGCGGTGGGTGCCCCATTGCGGTGGGTGCCCCATTGCAGTGGGTGCCCCATGGTGGTGGGTGCCCCATGGCAGTGGGTGCCCCATGGCAGTGGGTGCCCCATTGCAGTGGGTGGGGTGCCCCATGGCGGTGGGTGCCCCATGGCGGTGGGTGCCCCATTGCAGTGGGTGCCCCATGGCGGTGGGTGCCCCATGGTGGTGGGTGCCCCATTGCAGTGGGTGCCCCATGGCAGTGGGTGCCCCATGGCGGTGGCTGCCCCATTGCAGTGGGTGCTCCATTGCATTCCATTGCTTTGAGCACCCCGATGCACCACGTACCCCCCTCCCCCCCCTCTGTCACCCCCCTTTTCCTCTCCCCACAGGCCGCCATGGCTCCGTGCCCACGCTGACGGCCTCCCCATCCCGCAGCACCTCGGGGTGCCTCCCCACCATGGGGGATTCCTACACCGCCGCTTTCCCCAGCGCCGCGGGGCTGCTGTCCCCCTCCGTCAGCCCCCAGGCGTCCCCCGGCCCCTACGGCCCCGACTACGGCCCCTTCGGTCACCCCTTCCCCACAGGCGCCGCCACGCAGGAGGTGCTGGGGGCTCCGGTGGTGGTGGCCACCAAAGGCCACCCGTCGGGCGACTGCTTGCCGGGGGTTTTCCCCCCGCTGGAGATGCCCCATCCCTACGGCTCCTGGTATAAAGGCGGCCTCGGGGGGGGGCTGCCGGGAGGGTCGGGGCCGGCGGCCCCCGCTTGGTGGGACGTGCACCCTAACGGGGGTTGGCTCGGGGGTCCGGGGGGCGCCGAGGGGCTGCAGGGCTCCCTGCAGGCTCAGCCCGCGCTCAGCCCCCCGCTGCCCGCTTACGGCTCCGATTTCGGGGCCCTCAACCCCCCGCCTTACGGCGGAGCTCCGGGGGTGACCCCGACGGCGGCGGCGCCTCCGAAAAGCGAAGCGGGGGGGGGCAAAGCGTTGCGTGGAGGGGCCGGGGGGGGCGGCGGTTCGCCGGGCGGCCGCGCTTCGTGCGACTGCCCGAACTGCCAGGAGATGGAGCGCATGGGGGGAGCGGCGGCGGCGGGGGGGGCTGCGGAAGAAGGCGGTGCACAGCTGTCACATCCCGGGCTGCGGGAAGGTGTACGGCAAAGCGTCGCACCTGAAGGCGCACCTGCGCTGGCACACGGGGGAACGGCCGTTCGTTTGCAATTGGCTTTTCTGCGGGAAGCGCTTCACCCGCTCGGACGAGCTGGAACGCCACGTGCGCACCCACACCCGCGAGAAGAAATTCACGTGCGTGCTGTGCAGCAAACGCTTCACCCGTTCCGACCACCTCAGCAAACACCAGAAGACCCACGCCGACCCCTCGGCCCCCAAAGCGCCTTCCGAGCCGCCCCCCACCGCTCCCCCAGCCTCTCAGAACAACCCGCCCCCCCCCGGCCCGCCCGGTTCCCCGCGCCGACCCGTCGCTCCGTCGCCCCGGCGGGATGCGGGCAGCCCCGAGGCGGGCAGTTTGCTGGAGATCTGACGCCCCTCCTCTCCTTTCCTTTCCCCCTCCTCGGTATTTATTTCGGGGTGCCCCCCCCCCCCCCCCATAGAAAACCCGTCCTTCCCCCCCCCCTTCCCCCCCACCGCTCACCCATAGGCAGCGGCGCCGCGGGATCGTTTATAATTTATGTCTTAAATTATGGCGTGGGGGCCGTGCTGGGGGGGTTGAGGTGGGCACCCGCTTTGTTCCCCCACCCCCATTTTGTTCCCCCCCCCCTCCCCCAACTTTTCTCACCCCGCACAGAGCTCAGGGACCGGGTTCACCCCTTCTCCTCCTCCTCCTCATTAACCTGCCCAGGTCGTTTGGCGCTGATGTACCCCCCCCCCCCCCCCCCCTCTTTTAGCTGGCTACCCCCCCCCCCCCCAAAACATGAATAAACGATAAATGCAATAAAGGGGTTCAAGGAGCAGCAGTGGCAAGCAGCCCCCCCCTCCCCTCTCCCCCCCCCCCCATCTCAAAAGAGGGGAAACTGAGGCACACAGTGCGGGCGCAGCCCCGATATGGGATGTCCCACACTGTGGGGTGGTTCTGCTTTGTCCCCTTCCCCCTCCCTCCTGTCCTCGTGGGCCCACATCCCTGTGCTCTCGTGTCCTCGTGTCCCCCCATCCCCATGATTCCGGGACCCCACAAACCGCCACAACCCTACACACCCGTGTGTCCCTGTCAGTGAGTCCCCAAACCCCATCGAGGGGATCCCACAGACACGTCTGTGCACACAAACACACGCGTGTGCATCCCAGCTTCACCCCGTGCCTCAGTTTCCCCCACTGCACGCAGACCTGTGACACGTGTGGGGCCACGTCTGACCGAGGACACCCCAAAGTTGTGGGACGCCCCCATGTTGTGGGACACCCCAAAGTTGTGGGACACCCCATGTTGTGGGACACCCCCATGTTGTGGGACGCCCCAATGCTGTGGGACACCCCATGTTGTGGGACACCCCAAAGTTGTGGGACGCCCCAATGCTGTGGGACGCCCCAAAGCTGTGGGACGCCCCAATGCTGTGGGACGCCCCAATGCTGTGGGACGCCCCAAAGCTGTGGGACGCCCCCATCGCTCTGAGCTCCCGCCCCACTTTGGGGCTTTTTCGGGAGCTTTTTTTTGGGTTGGGGGCGGGGGGGAACCCAAAATAAAGCCACGGAAAAAGGCAGAGGGAGGCGGGACAGGCCGGGTGCCAGCGCCCATAGGGACAGCGCTGTGTCCCCATGCCAGCGTGGCGCAGCCCCGAGTGCCACCCCCGGGTGCCACGTGTGCCACCGGGCTGAGTCACCACCGTACGGCGGGGGGGGGGGGGGGGGGGAACCCACGAGGGGAAACTGAGGCACGAGGACACCCCCAGGACACCCCTGCAGTGCCACAGCGCCGTCCCCGCGCTGCCACCCCCCACGAGGGCGGGATTTGGGGTGCTGGGTGCCAGCTTGCATCGTAAGCCCCCAAACCTCCTGGGATTTATTTGGCTTTTAGGGTTTTTCCCCCCCAAAAAACGCCGCTCGCTGTGGGTGGGCCGCTGCCAACGGGCGCCGAATACATCCGTCCACATCCCGGTGCCAAACCCCAAACGGGAGCCTCCCCAAAACCACGCTGGTCCCAAAGCCACCCTCGGCCCCTGAGCTCCCCCTCCTCCCCCATCCCTTTGGCTTTGGGGATTTGAGGGGGGGGCGAAGGGGGGGCGCACCAGCGCTGCGGTGGCTCTGATGTCTCCTAGCGATCGGCGCCGTCCAAATCGTTGTCTCCTATCAAACCCCGCTCGCTCCGTAACGGGTGAGGAATGCAGGGCCCCCCACCGCAGCCCCCCCCACCCCCCCCCCACCCCCCCGCCAGAGCGTTTATTTAATATCCTGAAAAAATTAAAATAACTCCTGCGGCCGCTGAAGGAAAACACGGAGATAAATGTAATAAAAGCGAACCTAAAATGGGATCGGGGGGGGGGGGGGAAGGGGGTAGGAGGGAGATGAGAGCCCAGGAAAAAGGGTTGGGGGAGATCCAAATGGAGGGGGTGGGATGGGGGGGGGGGGGGGGAGGGAGAGGGGTGCTGGAACCCGGGGGACCCCGATAGAGAGCTATTCCCATATGGCACCCAGGGGACCCCAATGCAGGGGGATTCCCATAGGGGAACCCACGCAACCCCAAGGCACAGGGATGCAGGTACCCGAGCGACCCCAGCACAGGGCCACGTGGGCACCCATGGGACGCCGATAGAACGGGATGCGGGGACCTCGGGAAGCCCGACAGAGGAGCGCACGGACCCCTATGGGACCCCAATAGAGGAAAGTCCCCATGTGGGGCACCCGTGGGACCCCGGCACGGGGGGCTGGCGATGCTCATGGGACCCCAATAGAAGGCGGCTCCCCATAAGAGCCACCCGCGGGACCCCAGGACTCAGAGACGCGGACGGAGCGAAACCCGCGCACCAACAGCGCCACGCGCCTTTTTCCCGCCCCCGAGAGGACGCACCGCCTCCCTTAAAGGGGCAACGCTCCCCGGCCGTGGGCCCACCAAAAGATCAGCTCCCGTTACAGCGCGACGGCCCCCGATTTCCCATCGCGCTTTTGTACGAGGAGAGAACGGACACAGAACTGGGGAAGGGGTGGGGGGGGGGTTGGGAGACCTTCGGTGCTGCCCGAGCGCTGCGTGCACAGAACATGGCCCCTTTAACGCTCCCCCCACACACACACGGGGCGGAACGCGGCGCGGTTTGGCCCTCGCGGGGCTCCGTCGGCGGTTGAACGGCGCCCGCGGTTGGCGGTGCCGCCGGTGCCGGTTCGCCATGTGCTCCCTGGCGCTGTTTCCCCCCCGCCCCCCCCGGGCGCCGTCACCCTCTGTGAGTTTAACAACGCTCTGCTCTGCGGGCGGCGGGGGGAGCCGCTGCCGCTCGACTTCCAGAGCCTGGTGAGGAAAGACCCCCTCCCTCCCCCCCCCCCCAGTACCGCGGACCCCCGGCGCGGGCTCGGGACCCCCAACCCTTCCCCCAGAGAGTGGTGATGCTGGGGGCCCCCGGATCCCCGAAAGCGGATTTGTCCCCCCGTTTCCGCCCCCTGTGGTTATGCTGGGGACCCCCCCTCACTTCCCCTTAACAGTGCGCTCGGGATCACCCACTTCTGCCCCCCCCCAAAGTGTGTTTGGGACCCCCCAGCCTTCCCCAAAAGGTTGAAACGACCCCTCCACCCCTTTTTCCCTAAAACTGTCCTTGCCCCCCTCACCCTCCCGCCATCCTTCCCCCAGAATTCTCTGTGGGCCCCCCTCCACCCCACACTTTCCCCCCTACGAGAAAGCACTTCCTCCCCTCCTGCTCCGAGCAAACGCATCCCGCACTGTAACCCCCCTTCCTCCCCCCCGCAGCTGGCAGCGCTGCCCGCTCTCACTCTGCCTGAGGACGGTCTGAAGGGTCCCGGCCGCCCCGAATCGGGGGCTCAGCCCTTCCTGCACCACCGCGAGGCCCTGTGGAAGAGGGTCCTGTGTGCCTGGTGAGCGCCCCCCACCCCCATAACAGCGATGGCGCTGAGCCCCGTTCGTTATTGCTCTGCACCCGCTGGGTCTGCGTGGGCTTTGCTGCACCTTCAGGACCCCACCGAGGTCCGCACCAATTTCTGCAGCCTCCTCCCCTCCCTGCGGCAGCCACGGCCCCATCTGGGACTTTGTGGTTCTGCCCTGAGGGCTTTTTTGGGAGTAGGGGGGTCAGGATAGAGGGGGGAGCTCAGTGCAGCGGTCTCAGTGCTGGGCCTGCAGTGGGGCAAAGGGGAGACTTTGTGGGGACACGGGGAAGGCGTGGGGTCCCCGCATCCACACTGATTTACTTTTGCTGCAGGCGGGACGGGGGGCTGTGTGGGCTGCTGAAGGAGATCGTCAGCGCCGAGGAGGAGGGTGAGTGGGGCCTGGGGGTCCCTGCAGCTCCGCATCACCGCTCCGTGCTGCCCCATTGCCTGGGATCCCCCCCTGCTGGGAGCAGTGCTGACGTTTCTGTGCTCTCTGCAGGGCTGCAGTGGGCGAAGACGGCGCTGAGCTGCGTTCTGACCGCGTGCCGATGGCTCTCCTCCCTGCACGGCTCCCTCCTCCCACATCTCTCGGTGGGTTCCAAAACACTGCGAGTTCCCTTCTGTGATGGGGCGCTGAAAGGGCGCTGGGACAGCAAAGGGATGCAGAGGGAATGAAGCTGAGGGGGGAAGGGGCTTTCTGCCCGCTCAGCGCTGACTTCCCCACTGTCTGCCCCTTCCCCTGCAGCTGACCAGTGAGGATATGATTGCTGCCTTCTCCCAGGCGGTCGACTGGTGAGTGCTGTGTGCTGCGAGGCCACAATCCGTGCAAGATGTGTGTGTGTGTGTGTGTCACCCTGTCCTCTGGTGTACCCACACCTGCAGAACGGTGCCGTGGAGCGGAGGGAGGGGACAGCATCACCCCTCTGTTCTGTGCTCAGCCTCCCCAGCACAGGGATGCTGAGGGGAGTAATTCCCCATCGCCTGGGGCTGCTTGGTACCCTGGGTGCTGTGTTGTGCACGTGGGAGGAACAGCATTAAACTGAACCGGGGCTTGGTGAAGCGGTGAGCGGTGACTGTTTGTTGAGCAGCCTGTGAGAAACAGCCAGGAGGAAGGGAAGTTCGCAGAGGATGCCGCCTTGCTGAGCAGTGAAAGCTGAGATTTATTTTGGTGGTGGCTTTGGGAGTTGGAATTGGGGGATGGCGGACGTGGGTCCGGGTTGCTCCCTGTGCCCCCTCCCTCCCGCAGGGCCGGCTGCAGCGTCCGTGCCTTCGCCTGGCATCCACACACCAGCAAATTCGCCGTGGCTCTGCTGGACGACTCCGTGCGGGTCTACAACTCGAGCAGGTGAGGAGGGGGGCAGCTCCCAAACCCACCCCCCCAAACCCACCTCGAGCCACGTGCCCAGCAGCTCTCCCTCACCCCTGTGCTCTCGCTGCTCCCTGCCCCCAGAACTCACAGCGCTGCGTTAGGACCCTTCCTCACACCCCCAGCCCCCAGCCAGGCTTTCTCCCGCCCTTCAGCCTCGTTTCTCCTCTAGGTTTCCCTGCTCCCCCGGCAGGTCTCGGCAGGCATATAAAGCCCTCCTTAAGAGAAGACTCTCCCGGCTCATGCTGCGGCCCAAGCAGCGCTGCCCCGCTGAGCCGCTCTCCCCCAGTTGGAATTTCAAGCCAACAAGTGCCAGATCTCCCCCCGGGCTGTGGGCACTGAATCACACAAGGTGTGCTCCAGCAGCGCCGGTGTCACCTGCCTGGGTCCCCTCTGTCCCCCCCCCCCCCCAAGGGCACAGCTCGCGGTGGGTCCCCCTCCCCATAGGCTTTAGGCACCCACCACGGTCAGGGCTGCAGAGAGGTCCCCGGGGATGTCCCCCGTTGTTGTTGTGACCCCACTCGGCCTCCTGTCACGCTCCCTCCTCCCCGCAGTGCCACCATCCCATCGCTGAAGCATCGCCTGCAGAGGAACGTGGCCGCCGTCGCCTGGAAGCCGCTGTGTGCCTCCATCCTGGCCGTCGCCTGCCAGAGCTGCGTCCTCGTGTGGCACCTGGACCCCACGTCCCTCTCCACCAGGTGACGATCCCACGAGCCCCACACTCGTGTCCCTGAGCCCGTTTCTCTGAGCTTCAGGTTAAATCCAGGCTGCTGTCCGTCCGGCTGGGGGTACAGAAGGCGCTGTGGCGCATCACCAGCTCTTGGTGTCCCTCCTGTCCCCCATCAGCTGTGGTTTCTGTCCCCCAGACCCTCATCTGGCTGCGCTCAGGTGCTGTCCTACCCTGGGCACAGCCCCGTCACCAGCCTGGCGTGGGCACCCAGCGGGAAGCTGCTGCTCTCGGCCTCACCTGTGGACACGGCCATGCTGGTGAGTGTGGGGCCACGTTTGGGGGTCCGGGGCCGTCACCCCATTGCTGGGACATTCAGACGGCTGTGTGACCACGGGGGACAGCATTTCCTCAAAGGAGGGTCCTGAATTTGGAGCACTGAGACCTGGAAGCGTCAGCGCCCCGCGCTGTGCCACCTCTGGGCTCCGGCTGACGGTGGGAGCGCTGCCATCCCCCCAACCCCTCTGTGCCCCTCCAGGTGTGGGATGTGTCCACCGAGAACTGCGTCCAGCTGCAGTGGTTTGGGGGCGGTGGGGTCACCTTCTTGGCGTGGTCCCCCGATGGCAGCAAGGTCCTGGCAGCCACCCCTTCAGCAGTGTTCAAGTGAGCTCCCGACCCCGCTCCTTTTGTTCGCTCTCAATTCTATTCCCATTTTCATTCGCCTCCCATCAAAGCACACCTGGCTGCTTTATGTCCTCGCTGCTCCCCTTCTCCCCCGTGTCACATATGGGGGTAAAGTCAGGTCCAAGGCCTCGGGCTCCTCTCAGAGGGGCTGAATTGGGGCAGTTTTGGGGCAGTTTATCCCTTTCACATCATTCTCTCTCTCTCTCTTGCAGAGTGTGGGAAGCTCAGATGTGGACGTGTGAGAAGTGGCCCACGATCAAAGGGCGCTGCCAGGTGGGGCAGGCGCAGTGGGAAGGGGCATCTCCCCCCACGTGGGGGTGTGCGGGGTGTTCTGACGTCCCCCTGTGCCCCACAGACGGGGTGTTGGAGCCCTGATGGCAGCCGGCTGCTCTTCACAGTGCTGGGGGAGTCCGTCATCTACTCCTTGTCCTTCTCTGAGTACAGGGGTGAGTGCCCCCCGTTTGCTCCCCGGCCGTCGTTTTGCTTTCAGCTATGGGTGGTTGTGGCCAAGAGAAGCTCAGTGTCCATCAGGGAGAGCTTCCAAGCTGCTGTGGTGTAGCAAAGCCGGGACAGCAGGGAAAGGAGTGGAAGGAGGAGGTTTGTGGGGGCCCTCAACAGCAGTTGGGTGTCCGTATTTTCCCCCCTTGCGTTGCATCTTCAGCTTGGAGCTGCGCAGGGAGATTTTCGCTGGCTCTCAGCGCTCCTTTTGCACGGAGGCAGTGGGTGCTCACTTCTGTTGAGGGAAACCCTTCCCTGTGCGCCGTCCCAAACACCGCAGACGCTGCTGGGACAGCAGGAGGCTCCACAGCTCCAAGAGGCGGAAATTCCGCATCGTTCTGGGAGCAGAAGAGCAGATTTAGGGCAAAGAGACAACCTGCACACAGCAGGGAAGCAGAAGCGAGCGCGCCTGCTGGGACTTCATTTCAGGGGACATGCAGGGCCAGGTGGGAGGTTCGAAAACAGCTTCCATCGTGGCAGATCTGTCAGAGACCACCTTCGAGACGCCCTACGGGGAGGAGAGGTGGGTCTGACTGCGTGCGGCCCCACGGAGCGACGCTGGGAGGCGGAGGGGCTCTGTACCCCCTCCCCAGCTGTGGGTTCACCGTGCTGTGCTGCGCTCCAGGGTCGGCGGAGCTGTGCAGTCCATGGTGTGGGACCCCACCGGGGAGCGGCTGGCTGTGATCATCCGAGGTCAGAGCTGTGCTGCAGCGCTGCTCCCTGCTGCATTTGCTCCAAATCTGCCCTTCGTGGGGGGGGGAACTCCTCGGGGGTCGGGGGTCCGCTCTTCCTCGCTGTGACTTTGCCCCCCTGCACAAAGCATCCCCCCGCACCCCTGCGGTGTCTGTTCCTGGTTATCCCCCGAGGAGAGAGCACTGTTCCGTCCTCACTGCCAGACAGAATCACCTCTCCCAGCCCCACCGCCAGCTCTCTGCGTTCCCACGGTGCCCACGTTGCACCCTGAGCCCCCGGCCCCACTCGAGGAGCAGCCTTGGGATAACTGAGCCGTTGAGGCCCTCCTGGCTGCAGAGACAAAGCACAGCTTTGACAGCCCCGAGGTGCAGCGCTGGGGACGCCGCATCGGACCTGAGCTCGGCCGCTTGGTTTTTTGTCCCTCTTATAAAGCTGCGGGAGAGGAAATGGGGGAGGGAAAAGCTGCAGGGAAGCAGGGCTGCCCCCGTCCTGTGGGGGATCCCGTTTGGAAGGGAAAAGAGCACTGCAGGCAGAGGTGGCTTCGTTCCCCACGTCGCTCCCGCTTTGCTGTCCCAGCCCCTCACACCCTCAGCTCACGGCTGCTTCCCTTCCCCCTGCAGGAGATCCCAGCGCTGCGGGGACGCAAACCGTGGTGGCCGTGTTCCGTATCCGCAACAGCCCCGTGTTTGAGCTCCTGCCGTGGTGCGTAGCAGATGGGCTCAGGGCTTCTCGTGGTGTTTTGGAGGTTGGTCAAACACCCTCGGGACGCAGTGGGAGAGATGCTGTGCTGCTGCCGTCCCACGCTGCTGCTTCAGGCAGTGCTGCAGTACCATTTTGCCCCCAAAGCGGTCACATTTTGGACGTGTCGTGCATTGGGAGGTTGGATGCGATGGTCTCTGGAGGTCCCTTCCAACCCCTTCAATTCTGTGATTCTCCTGAAAACCCTTTGCGGTTCTCTCAGTGCAGCAGAGATGGCGCTTAAGCCCACAGCGCTGCGCCGCCTCTCACTGCAGCTCTCCTTTCCCTTCCAGCGGATTCCTGAGGGGGGAGCAGAGCGCGGAGCCGCAGCTCATCGCCTTCCACCCCTGCTTCGAGAAGGGAGCGCTGCTGACTGTGGTGAGTGCGGCTCCGGCTCTCGGTCAGGAATGCAGCGGGTGAAATTGCCCCGCCGTGCAGAGAGGGCGGAGGGAAGGCGATGGTGACCCATTGCTCTTTGGGACGGTGCTGCCCTGTGCTGACTTTTGCGCCGTTGTCCTTTCCAGTGCTGGTCCACGGGGACCATCAGCCACATCCCCTTCTTCTTCCTGAGCTCCCGCCTGCCCTACGGCAGCCCCGGCCGCAGCCCCGCCGTGGTGACGGCCAGCAGCAGCGTGAGGGAGCAGCCGCTCTTCTCGGAGCTCTGACAGCAGCTCAGGACGTTTGGGATCCATTGCAGTTCCCTGTTCCCCTTCCTGTACCCCCGCAGGTTCTGCACGGCTCCGTGCTCTCAATTCTGTGGAATGCGGGGTTCAGCCGTCGAGCGCCGTGCAGATTAAAGGTGGCTCCTCCTCCCCACGCCTGGCGCTGCTCCTCGCTCTGTCCTTGTCCAGGGAAAACAAGGAAACGTTCCCTGGAAGTCTGTTGGGGGGATGCGTTCTCAAAGCCACTCGGGTTTTGTTCCTGGGGCTCTGGTGCCGCTCTGTGATGTCCGGTCATGGTTTGGAGTGCACCTGTAGGAGAAGAGCCATTCTGTGCCTAAACCAAAGCAGATCTGAGGTTCCTGCCCCTACATTTGTGTGCGGCAAACAAACACCTGGGGAGCCCCCAATGAGCGTGGGGTTTTGCTCTGTGGTTAAGTGGCTGCACTGAGGGCCGAAGGGGCTGTGAGGGTTCCTTGGCCTTAAATGCAGCCTTTGGGCTTCACCTTGAGGGCGTAAGGAACCACCAGAAGGGCTGCAGCTCAGTGAGACCCAGCACGGCACAGACCTTCCCCTTCTCAGCCCATTCAGGGAGTGCTGCTGCAGCCCCACGTGAGCCCTGACAGCGCTGGGGGGAGCAGATGGGCCGGAGTGGGATTAAGGGGAGGCTGAGGGGGGCAGTGCTTAAAGCCCTGGATTACACGTGGTTAATCCCTGGGATTACGCTGTAATCGCTCCGCAGAGGAAACGGGGAGGGAGGGCCCTGCTCAGCCCACAGTGCCACCACCCCCAGGACCCACACGACCCTCCTGAAAACCAAACCCCGAAACGAGGCAGGGAAGCTGCCCTTCCGCCCCACGGAAAAGACGGCAGCAGCCCAACGAAGACGTGGGGTAAACAACTCACACCGGAGACGGCGAGGGATCCCCGGTTTGGATCTGCTGCTGGGAACTTCTGCCCCTGTGGTGTCCGTGGTGTCACAGGACGGCGCTGAGCGGCTCCTCCTCCCCGGGGCTCGGCCGCCGGCAGGGCAGCGCCCGCAGGTACTCGAGGTGCAGACGGGTCTCGGCGCGGCTCCTCCTCACGTAGCGTCCCACGTAGGCGAGGACGGCGCCGAGCCACCCACCCACGGCCACCAGCATGGCCACGTCTGGCACCCGTGGCTGCCCGCTCCCTGCCAGGGTTTCGTTGCGACCGCCGGCGGTGGGGGGAAGGCCCTGGGGACCCCCCAAAGGGCAGCGGCTGCCTCGGGGGCAGCAGGGCAACCCCAGAGCCAGCAGGAACAGCCAGGCTGCCTGCATCGCCCTGCAGCGGGAGGCGGGGAGCGAGGGGGGGGGGTCTGTGTCCTCCCCAGGACAGCTGGGCTGGTGACGTTCCCCTCCCAGGGGCAGCTGGGATGGAGGGAATCACAGAATCACAGAATTGTAGGGGTTGGAAGGAACCTCCAGAGATCATCGAGTCCAACCCCCAAACCAACAACAGAGTGCTGGGGATGGTGAGGCTGCACCTGCTTTTGCACCCCAGCGTGTGACCTTTTGGAACCCCATGTGCCCCCCTGTGCCCCAGGACACCTCCGAAGCAGCTCCCACTACCTGACCAGCAGATGCATTGGGAATGCACTGGTTTTTACTGGTGTTGGCAGCCAGTACATAACAGGCCAGGCTTCAGAGCACCGAATCCTTAAAAGCCTCTTGCTTTGCTCTGTGCTTTCGGACCGGTCTAACGCTGTAACTGGGACCAGTGGCAGCTCACAGCTGCTTTGGTGTCCTGCTGTGACCGTGCCAACAGTCCATGAGAAGTCCCAGCACAGGCAACTCATTGGGGGGTGGGGAACTCATCCGCTTTGTGCTCCCACCCCCTGCAGTGCCAATGTCCTCCGGGCCATCTCCAAAGCCCCCTCCCGCGTACGGTTGCCTCCGATGAAGCCGCTGGAGTGCACGAAGACACAGCCGGGGATGCCGGCGAGCTGAGACAGCGCCTCGTCACGAACACCCCGCCACGGCTCGGGGAGAGGGAGGCTGCGATGGTGGGAAAAGGGGCAGGGGGTTGAGATCCTGTCCCCTCCTGGCAGGGGAGGCGCTGGGGACGGGGCTCACCGGCTCTCGAAGCTGCGTGGCCCCACCGGGACGCTCTGCACCCGCCACTGCCCGCTGCGGTCGGGGAAAAGCACCAGCTGGAGCGGGTTGGGCAGCGCCAGCTCCTTCTCCAGGCTGAAGAGGTGCTCCTTCCAGGGGCAGCCGCCCTGCGGGAGCTCCAGCATCACCCCGCTTGTGTCCACCTGCAGAGGGAACACGATGCGGCTGCGTGGTGGCACGTGAGGTCCTGCCCTGTGCCCCAGCACTGCCCTGCGCCTCAGCTTCTCCCCCCCTTCTTGCGCTTTTCTCCATCTGAATAGCACAGCCCCCCCCTCCCAATGAGACCCTGCGCTGTGGGGATGCACCACCACCTGTTTAGGGTGAGTGGTGGTGGAGGATGGGAATGTGTGACAATGTGTGGTGTTACAGGGGTGCACAGAGAGTGGCTGTAAGGGTGCAGAGAGAGAAACGGGGTGCACAGCTGTGCCCTGAGCTGTGCGGGGAGGTCAACACCAAGGGGACCTGGCCTCCCCTTGCCCCAGGCTTCCACCCATCCTTTAAACCCCCCCAAAACAAGCACAGGGAGCACCTCAAAGCGGCGCCGGATGGCGTCCTCCACGAGCGCCCGCGCAGGCAGCCAGGCACGGTGATAATAGTCGAGCCTGTCCATGAACTCACTGCCCACCAGCTCCACTGCCCGCTTAAACCCAGCCTGGGGATGCAGCAGAAGATCAGCAACGACCCCAAAGAACGCAGCTCTGCGTTCCCCCTTTCCCACGTGTCCCCACCTCAGTGTCCTGGTCGGGGTCGTTCCAGCGGGGGTTCAGGTGCCCCACGCGGGCGCTGAGGTTGGTGGTGAGGGCGTAGCGGGGCTCCCCGTCCGTCTGCGCGATGCCGTTGTCGATGGCGTCGATCTCCTCCACAAAGTTCTCATAGAGCTTGGGGACAGGGTGGGGTCAGAACGCCTGGAACCCAACCCCTCTTTTATGGGGTGGTTTCCACAAGGGAAAGTCAGGCTGGTGGGTCACAAATCCCCCGTACCTTATCGTAGAGTGCAGTCACAACGGGGCTGTCCTCTGGCTGTCCCAGAAGCCCAGCAAGGATTTGGGAGCCAAAGTGGCAATAAACCAACCCAGCGCTGCTCAGTTTGGTGGTCCAGGGCTTGCTGGGCTGGAGGCTCCGCATGGACTGGGTGAAAGACCTGTGGGATCACAGGGTCAGCCCTCGGGGGGGGGCTCCCTTATGTGGTGACCCCAACGTGGTGGAGTGTCTCACCTCTGGTGATGGTCATAGCGGTGCCTCTCGGGGTCATATTCGCCCCCCACATCCACCACCACATCGCACTGGGCCAGGCGTTGGGGGTCCCGGGTCCGCACCACCTCTGCGTCCTGCTGAGGCATGGGGTGAGGCTGAGGGGGGCCCAGAGTGGGACTGGGGAGAACAGGACCTCAAGGGGGAAATGGGGACATAAGGGCAGGCACCACGTGGGGCTGAGGACCCCAACAAGGAGCTGGGGAGCTCAGTGTGGCCCCAGTGAAGGACTGGGGACCTGAAAGCGTCCTCCAGGTGGGGCCATGGATTCTGACAACGGCCTGGGGATCACAGGGTGGGCCCTAAGCGAGACTGGGGACTCCAGCAGGGGGCTGGGGATACCAGAGTTGGTGAGACTGGAGACGTTATAAGGGAAAGGAGGGCAGGAGCGGCCCCCAGCGGAGACTGAGGACCCCAAAAGGAGGCTGAGGACCCCACTGCGGCCCCGACGAAGGATGGTGGACCAGAAAACGTGAGCTTGGGGATCCCAGGGAGATTCTTCAGTGGCACTGCGGGCTCCAGCAGGGCCGGGGGACCCACGGGCGACCCTGAGGAAGGGCAGGACTCGCAAGGTAAGACCAGGTCCGAGTGCAGAAGGGTCCGAGAAGGCCGCGGCCGTACCCGGTAGCGCGGCAGCAGGCGCAGCAGGAAGCACGCCAGCGCCTCGTCGCAGTGGAAGGTGCCATCGTGGGTGCCGATGCGCGGAACCGGCTCCGTTCGGGCCCGCTTGGACCCGGCCCCGCTCCCGGTGACGGCGGCGGCCATGAGGGGAACGGCGCGCAGACCGCCGCGCATCACTGCGCATGCGCGGTGCCGCCTCCGCGACGCTGCGCATGCGTGGCACCGCCTCCGCGACGCTGCGCATGTGCGGCCCTGCCTCCACAGCGCCTTTTGACGGCGCATGCGCATGCCTCGCCCGAAGGCCCCCGCCCCGCCCTTCTGATCTGCGCGTGCGGCGGCTCAGCCCGCCCCGCCCTTCTGTACTGCGCATGTGCGGCTCTGCCCCGCCCTGACCCACCCGCGCATGCGCAGAGGGCGGAGTTTAGGACACGTGGAGGGGGCGGGGACGTGGGGACACGGGGGGGTACGTGGGAGGGGAACGGTGACACGGGGCTGCGGGGAGGGGAGCTGAGGAGATACGGAGTGACACAGCGATACGTGTGGACGCGTACATGCGCAGACGGGGATGCGAAAGGAGATGGGGAGAGAGGGACATGCGGACACGGAACAGCACGGACAGACAGAAGGACACTTAGTGCAGCCCCACCCAGACACAAACCCGGACAGACGGACACTTCCAGCAGCTTCACACGGACCCGGACAGACGGACACAGCCCCACAGCGCAGCCGGTGCTGCTCCCACGCCACGTTTATTTGCACGGAGATGGAGCCCCGCTGCCCCCCGTGCCCACCGTGCAGCGCCCATCCCCAGGCACTGTCCCCAGGTCCGGCTGCCTGCAGGGTCCCCACCCCCCGCTGTCCATGCAGCGTGACCGCTGTGTGTCCCCAGACACGGTGCTGCCTGGCGTCCCACCAAGGCACTCAGCTCCCGCTGCTCCTCTGCATTTCATGGCCCCAAATCCATCCTCGTGCTGGCGCTGCTCCCACTGACCCCTCCTGAAGGACCACCACCCTGCAGAAGTGGCTTCAGTGGGGTCAGCGGGGATGGGGCACCTTCCAGAGCTCCAGCATTGCACAGGAAACCTCAGCGTGCCCATTTAGCTCCGCCTGGCCTCAACGTGACAACAGACAACACCCTTACAGGATGGTGTCAGCAGTGGGGCTGATGTGGGACACGGGGTGGCAGTAGTGCTGGGAACACACATCACAGCCCGGCTGACTGTTCCTGGCTGTGGTTCCCTTCTCCAACCTCTCACCGCTGTCTGTGGGGCTCTGAGGAGCAGCCTCAGCATTTTCCTGCATGGGTCTGGGGTGTGCAATTCCATCAGCATCACATTTCTCAAATCGGGGGTGAGCGGAGGGGTCCCTCAGGTTCAACAGGTGCCTTCGATGGTTCCCCAGTGCCATGAATCTGCAAAACCTGAGCCTCTCCTTCCGAGCAGCCCCAGTTTCTGGTCAGAAAAAAAGTGGTTCAAGGCAACCCAGCCTCAAAACATCCATAAAGGGATAAGTCAGCTCTTGCAGACGAGTGAAAGAAACACTCATGGAGGGGGGGGGGGGAAATGCACAGATCTGGGTCTGCAGCGAGCAAACCTCGGCCGCCGTGGCCAAGAAAACAAAGCAGGACCTGCAGTAGTGTGAAACCAAACTATGTACAACCTCCTCCCAGGGTCACAGCCCTCCTCTCGGGGCCAAGGCTGACTTATCCCTTTAGACGCGGGTGCTCAAACCCACGGCTGGAATCAGGAGATCTCGTTGCCGAAGACCTCGAGCACCAAGGGCGTGAGCTGCATGCTGTGCTCGGGCTGGAAGGAGAGGCAGCGGTACTGCTTGGAGTGCTCCTCGTTGAGGCTGCGCAGGTCGGCCAGCTTCTGGATCATCTTGGCGTATAGCAGGCGGCTGCCGGGCGGGGGGTGCCTGCAGCGGATGTAGGTCTGCAGGATGTCTGAGAGGCGGTCCTGGATGGACTCCACCAGCGAGGTGTCCTGAACGCCGGGTCGATCTAGGGAACACCAGCATCATCAGATCGGCCCTTGGAAAAGACCTTGGAGGTCATCGAGTCCGGCTGTTAGCCTGGCACTGCCAGGCTTGGGGATATTGGTGGAGCCTTCGTGCTGCCAAAGCCTGGCAGGGTGGGGAGCTTGGGGACGAGCGTCCTCCTACCTGGGGACAGGATGCAGATGGCCATGAGGAGCACGTGCTCTTCCTCGTGAAGGTTCAGCTTCTTCAAGCCCACCTGGAACTTCACGAGCGGCTCGAGGAGCTCCATGCTGTGGCCGGCTGGGGACAGAGAGGAGCTGTTAGCACCTGGGTGAGACCTCAGATCTGCAGCTGAGAGATGAGCGCGGAGCTCAGCGCCTCCTCCTTCAGTGCAGAGGAGCGCCAGGATCACAGAATCACAGGATGATTTTTGACAGAGCTTTAAAAACGTTATTTCTTTCAATCTTTCCTCCCCAGCGGCGTCTTTAAGGCAGGAGATTATGGAGCAGATGACTTCAGAAAGGCAATTAACCTACGGGCGGTTTGCGTTCCTTATCGCTCCCACACCGCGCCGCGTTGTGCAGAAACACCAAAACACGTTTTGGGTGCCCACAGCACGCAGCAAGCAGATCCCATCCCTGCCCTCCGTGGCCCCACAACCCGTCACGATGTGCTGTTTGCTCTGCCTGGTTTCCTTGGGATCTCACTGGGGGATCTCTGCCCTTGCACCAGGGATCTCAGCATCCCAGGGTTACTCCAAGGCCTTGCACCAAGGATCTCAGCATCCCAGGGTTACTCCAAGGCCTTGCACCAAGGATCTCAGCATCCCAAGGTTACTCCAAGGCCTTGCACCAAGGATCTCAGCATCCCAGGGTTACTCCAAGGCCTTGCACCAAGGATCTCAGCATCCCAGCGTTACTCCAAGGCCTTGCACCAGGGATCTCAGCATCCCAGGGTTACTCCAAGGCCTTGCACCAAGGATCTCAGCATCCCAGGGTTACTCCAAGGCCTTGCACCAAGGATCTCAGCATCCCAAGGTTACTCCAAGGCCTTGCACCAAGGATCTCAGCATCCCAAGGTTACTCCAAGGCCTTGCACCAAGGATCTCAGCATCCCAGGGTTACTCCAAGGCCTTGCACCAGGGATCTCAGCATCCCAGGGTTACTCCAAGGCCTTGCACCAAGGATCTCAGCATCCCAGGGTTACTCCAAGGCCTTGCACCAGGGATCTCAGCATCCCAGGGTTACTCCAAGGCCTTGCACCAAGGATCTCAGCATCCCAGGGTTACTCCAAGGCCTTGCACCAAGGATCTCAGCATCCCAAGGTTACTCCAAGGCCTTGCACCAAGGATCTCAGCATCCCAAGGTTACTCCAAGGCCTTGCACCAAGGATCTCAGCATCCCAAGGTTACTCCAAGGCCTTGCACCAAGGATCTCAGCATCCCAGGGTTACTCCAAGGCCTTGCACCAGGGATCTCAGCATCCCAGGGTTACTCCAAGGCCTTGCACCAAGGATCTCAGCATCCCAGGGTTACTCCAAGGCCTTGCACCAAGGATCTCAGCATCCCAGCGTTACTCCAAGGCCTTGCACCAAGGATCTCAGCATCCCAGGGTAACTCCAAGGCTCTTCCCCAGGTGCTGGCAGATGTTTAATATCCACCTGAATATCTGCAGTTTGCTCAGTACGGTTTTCTTACACCTGAATTTCAGGCTGCGGCGCCACCTTTGAGCCCTCAGCCCGGCAGCACCTTTACCTTGGGTGACATCGCTGACTTTGTACTTGAAGTCGTTGCTTCCACAGGTCCACGACATGTCCTCCAAGGTGAAGGACTGGTTGGAGCGCAGCATGATCACCTCAATGGCACTGGATTTCAGCAGGGCAATCTGATCCTCTGCAGTCAGATCCCTGCGGGCGGGAATGAGGAGATGTCCACAACCAGAGGCACGATCCGGCTTCTCCCTCACCCTGAATTTCTGGGTAATTAAGCAGTGGGTATTTCTGCAGCTCCGTGTATCGAGTGGCAGCACCCAGAGCCCTGGGCTCCAGGCTGACTCTTGCTGGGCTGGTGTTAAACGGGATCTCAGGACACACAAGCAAGACGAGCACCACTCACATGGCCTTAGCATCTTTCTCAGGAGCTCAGGCATTTTGTTTATGTGGCCAGGGTGAATCCAGCTCAAGATTAAAGAGGAATAACCCCAGGAAGGGAGAGGGAAAGAGAATAAGAAGGTAAGAACAGAGCTGGGAAGGGGACAGAGAGAAGTGGAGAAAAATGACTGTGGAAGCTGGGACTGAATTGCTGGGAGCATAAAACCATCGTGGGCACCTGGCGTGGGGACAACATCTCACCTGAATCCGGGGATCATTTTGGCGAAGCCGATCACCTTCTGTATGCTGTAGCTGACCAGGTCAGCCAAGTGTGGGAGCATGGGGAGCTGGGGCAGCTCGATGCTCATGGAGGGGGTCTCATCGCTCTCCTCGGAAAGATCCAGGTTGGAAAACATCTGGGGCTCCATGGGCTCTGGAAAGAGGGAGGTGGTCCATGGGGGTGAGATGTAACAGGGAGGGGTGTCAGCCCGAAGCAGGGATGGTGCCTGTTGTGCTGGGAGGTCGTTGTCTTGGGCCGGGAGAGCGCTTTGGTCACATCAGCTGTGGGATTTTTAGTTTAGGTCTAACTGCAGGCAGAGCAGCGGCAACCCAGCTCATGGTCCCGATGCAGCCAAGCACTTCATGCTCTCAGCTCATCAGGAGCCTTCTGAACACCCTCAGGAGGCTCTTAGAGTCAAATGCATTCCCTAGGAGAGCTGAGACAACTATTTCGTTCTTGGCCAAGCTTAGAAAAATCTCTTCCCCTTTTGCTTCCATAGCATAAGGATGCCTGAAATGCCACACACAGAGCTGAGTCCAGTACCTGGGAATGCACCGAAGGCATCAGAGCCAAAAACATCATTGGGGTCCTCCGAGGAGAAATCCTGGGACACGACACAGGAGGATTGCGTTGCTGCACTGCTGCTGACTTTGCTTCTCACAGGGGGCTGGAAGAGAGAGCGGGGTGAGAGGAATGGGGCTGGGAGAGCAAGCTTGAGGGGAGCACCGAGATATTTGCACCGGCTTTTATTGGGATGAAACTGATGAAGTTTCTTGGAGCTGCTGGTGCTGAGGTGGGAATCGGGGCTGTTGTGCCCCCCAACGTACCCGAAACTTGTTGAAGTCGGAGTAAGTGGTGTCGAAAGTTTTGTGGTGGGCCTCGAGGAGGATGTCAATGACTTTCTGCTGCTCCTCCGACAGCTTGGGCTTCAGGCTCTCCTTCAGCGCTTCCTCCTCTTTGCGCTTCAGGATCATCTCACGCTTCCTCTGCACCTCCTCATCCGTCAGGATGACTGCAGGGATGGAAGGAAAGAGCAAAGGGTCGCAAACAGGCACTGGGAAAGCAGCACCGAAGCGCCTCAGGTGTGCTGCAGCCAAGCAGCAGCCCTCAGCGTTGCTAATGGGTCATTGAACCTGCATCGACCCTATTACTGAACCCGCTCCTGTCCTCGCCTGCTGGGTCACGGCTCCCTGCTATGCACCGTTTATGGCCCATTTGGGTGCCGTCGGGTGCAGTCAGGTCACGTCAGCACCGCCACGGCTTCGCTCCAGACCTCACTGTTTGCTCTGTGCTTTCGGGTGAAAGAAATCTCAAGATGTGGGCCGACGGGTTCGTGCACCACCGCTCTCAGCTCCGACAACAGAGGGAGCGCAGTGCGGTGGGCAGCAGCACGGCGGCTGTTTTTCAGCTGAGGGGACACACAAACACGGTGGGGATGGGTGGTGGCTGGACCAGATTGATCCTAGCGACCTCTTCCAACCTCAATTGTTCTGTAATATACCAATTTATTGCTTGTATTATGAGCAACAGCCTTCAGCAGCAGCCAAAGGTCGGGTCCAAAGGCGACGAGCAAAGCGTCTCCCATTTATTAGGGATGTTTGAACATCCAAAGGCAATTTGGGCTCCAATGTGACCCTTATAAAGAACCTAAAGACCTGAAGAGCCTCACAAGGTTGGAAAAGCAACAACAAGCACCCACCTTTGCACCCAACGGCTCGTTAACGCTCCCAATCAGCAAAGCATATCCACTGTTGGGTCCTATAAATAGCAGTGCCCCTTCATTGAGAAGCTATTAGCCCCAGAACCAGTTATTAGCAGAGCAGCCCAGCGTGTTTTATCTGATGGCAGGCGGCTTCCTGCGGTCGGGTGGAATCTGGAAGGAGAGGCTGACGAAGGCAGCGGGGCTCAAGGAGCCATTTGCACTTCTTGGCCCCTTCTGCTGCCTTTTGCCAACAGCATTTTTCCAATACGTTTTCAAACTTGCACAACAACCTTCGGGGGGGGATTTAAAGATCTGGAGGTACTGAATGAGCGGCTGAGGCCGAAAGGTCGCTCCTGTGACCGGCACGGAACGGTCAGTGCTGCAGGGGGCAGCCCGGGCGAAACGGGGAATTCGCCATCTCCTGTCCTATTAGGAAAGCTTGGGATCCATCCAGGTGCTGCATGCAAGGAGAAATCACTGAGGAATGCAGCAGCACTGGGAAGCGCCACGTGGGGCTGGAAGGGGGACAGAGCTGAGATGGGGTCAGCGGCTCCTCAGCCACCCCAGCACGGAGGAAAGTGAGGAAGAGGAGTTGGGATGGGAGCGCATGCACCGACCCCTGGTCAAATCCCCTAAGGCAGATGGATTTCCCTGTATGGGATCTGCACAACAGAGCATCTTTCCTTATTTGTCCCGGGGTTTCAGCGCTTTGAGGCCTGGCAGACTGTGGTGCGGGCTGCACGTTGCTCTGAACCCATTGCAAAACCAACGCCAGGGATTTGGGTCGGTGCTGAACGCTCTGATGGGACTTGCCAGAGCTTACAGGAGTCTAAAACCCGAAGGAAGCCCCGCAGGCAGATCGAAGGTGTTTTAAAGATCAGAACGACGCGATAAACGCAATCGCAATTCCCTTCCAGCTCATCTTGCAAACAGAGGCGGTGCTGTGCGAGCCCCAACAGAGCCTGGCAGCAGCTCAGCCAACGGGGAGCAGCAAAGCTGAAGCTTTAGGGTGAGAAATGGTAACAGCACAACTGACGGGCTTTATAAAATTCCTGGGAAAAAGGCTTCGTCTGCGCTCACCTCGTGCACACGGAAGGATGGATGGGGCCAACGCGCCCCAGCCTGCATCTTCAGCTTGAGATCAGATCCCAGGGCTGCTCCCTTCCCCAGAGCTGAGCTGGAGCTGTGCTCCCAGCTCCTGGCACAAACAGAGCTGCAGTGGAACGGCTGTGGGCTGCCCTGACCCGAAGCACAGGAGGAGGAGAAGCCAACATGTGCACATCACTTCTGTTCAGACACAGAACGGACCTCTGCAGACACCACAGGGACAGAGGAGAAAAGCCGCAGGGCTGCTCTGAGGTTACTGAGAGCACGAGGACACGGCTGGTGGGTGAGGATGTGAGCACGCAGCCTCGGCCAAAGCGGGGAGCTGGAGGTGCTGGGGATGGCATGGAGGGAGACGTGCGCCATTGGGGGAGCAAAGGGCAGCCGAACACCAACCGAAACGAAACAGAGCAAATATCAGTGTGAGACTGGATGGCACTCAGACACTGCATCAAAGCTTGGCAGGCAGCATTTCAGCTGGACGTGGGGACACCACGCAGCCCCAGAAAGCCCCGTGGGTTCCTTTCCATCCCCAGGGAGTGGCATTGAGGATGGGGGGAAGCAGAACTGCCCCTGCGGCAGCAGCTCTGCAGTGAAGCCGTGCAGTGATCCGCAGGGTGAGGGCTGGGCAGCACAGTGTGTGTTTAATTTGCCACAAGGCATCAGGGCAGGAATCATCCCCAAAGAGCTCTGCAGGGCATTGCGACCCCGCTCCATTGCCAGAAGCACCCAGGATCGCTCTGCAGCCATTCTCACGAGATGCAGCCTTCACAGGGTGCAAACCTCATTCCTCCCCACTGCCTCTCCCACAGCTCTGCCTTCGCTTCCCCCACATCCCAGCTCCCGCATAACGCTCTGCAATCCATCCACAGGCAGACAAACTGCAGCAGGACACTGCAAGCACAGCTGGATCCTCCCAAGGAGGCTCCTCGATCCTGGCACCGTGACAGGCACCCAAAATCCCCCAGCAGTAGCACAGCAGGGAGAGATGCAGCCAGGCTGCTGCGGCCGCTCAGTTCAGCGCTGTGTTTTCTGCCTCCCTGCTTTGCACCGCAGCACAGGGCAGCCAAGGGGAAGCACATCCCCTGCCCGTGTGTGCTGTAATGACTGCAGAGCTGATAAAAGCAAGGGAAAGAGAGGGCAGCGAGGCCAAGAGAGGTGAATTACCCACAGGTAACGCAAGGCCCTGGAGGGATGGGTGCCCCTTCTGGAGCACCACGCAGCTGGCGAGAGGCAATTTTGCGGGATGGAAGGAATGAGCTCAGCATTGCTTGGGCCATCTGAAGGGAAACAGCCCGAAAACATTTCCAAACGACGCGGCTTTCGCCTTCGCCCGTGGCCTGACGCTGTCCCCTAAGCTTGCCCTGTGCTTTACCCCACGCAGATAAGATGGGTGGAAAACCACAAATATTTGCTAACGCTGCTTGCAGATTGCAGCTGTGGATCAGCCCCCGGCCCTGACCCTCACTGCTGGGCTCAGCGTGTTCCTATGGCTGCAACTCATCCCTTCCTTGGTCCCTCGTGGGGACAGCGGCTGTCCTCAGCTCCCCAGGGAGCGCAGCAGGGCAGGGCTTCTGCTCTGTGCCATTTTCAACACACACAAAGCCTTCACCTTCTTGAGGGCCCCTCACTGCAGCACCGAGCCTGGAGCCGTGCAGACGTGGCTGGGGGCAACGCTGAAAGCCACCCAAGATTTAGGACAGGAGGAGGAGACGGAGCTGCCTGCACCAGACCTCAAATTAACACAAGCACAAAGAGCGTCCACATCTGCCTCCTCCTCCTTATCCATTTTTGCTCTAATTTCTGCTTCGGACCCATCAGCAGCGGAGCAAACCAAGCCCATCCCTACCCGTGCCAGCAACCGCAGCCCGGGGAAGACACGAGCCCACCCCAAGAGTTCAAAGATCCACGATGCCACCTAAAAATAACAGCAGCACACCTTGTTCCCATTCACTGAAGCAGCAGCAGAGGCTGCAGGAAGGCTATTTTTAGGCTCCTCGGTTAGGTTTCATTAATACAGAATCCGTTTGCTAAGGGGGGGTCGCTTACAAGTTAACCCCGAGGCGGGCAGGCGAATCCCTCCGTGCATTTTCTGACCCTTCCTGGGTAATTGACTGCTACAAGTCAACACATTTCCCTTGTTGGCAACGGTGATGCCAAACAAACTGCAGTAACCAGGGCTGGAGGCTCCCAGCCAGGCAGCCTCGTGCGCTGGGGCATTTCAGCGCTCTCCTTTTCAATCAGCTCAGTGCTTTTCCTCCCTCTGAGTGAGATAAGATCCACAGTGTAAACATGCCATCAATGAGGACGGCTCTCCTGCTGCTCTTGGAACACCTCAGAGCCGGGTTCGGGAGCAGAAAGTGCCTAACGGTGCTGTTCCAACCAAGAAATCAGGTGTGACAACAAATGCCAAAGCAGCAGAACACCAAAACTGTGCTTTGTGCAGTGCTTCCCACACTGCTCGGCCGACTACAGGGAGCAGCTCTGGCTCTTTGCCGTGTCCAAGCGTTAAACCAAAGGGAGCAGCTGTTTCTGCAGGGCAGAACATGGGATGCAGACCTGCTCCGGTTTGCTTCCCCATCCCTGTGCTCTCACGAGAGAAGGATTCACCTGGTGCATTGCCTGCTCTTTGCTTTCCTACCCCCCTACAGAGCACAGCCGACACTTTACAGGATTTGGGGGCCTCAAGATCTGTTTGATCTCCGGGGCTCCTGAACATTTAGGCATTTTTTTTCTTCAAGTTCTTTGCAAGTTCTGGTTTGCAGATCTGCACCCCGTGCCACCGGGCGCTGTTTGTTCTCCGCTCGGCACATAAGGAAACGTTCAGCACTTCCATTTGCCAAGCCAGCTTTGAATTTTCAAGCCCATCAATCATGGGACAGGCTGTCCTGTTTGCAGTCTCCTAGCAGAGGGCTGTTATTTTGGTTTAAACTCCTGAAGTCTCGGGGCGTAGAAAGCACGCGTGTGTAGGAGGAAACGTGCCAAGCAGCTTTTATTTTTAAAAGCTGCTTATCTATAAATACAGTCAAAAAAAAAAAACAAACAAATATTTGGACAACATTAACCTGTTTAGATTGGGTTAAAAAGTGCTTTACTTCCCTCTGCTATTTGTTTAAGCCTCTGCGTTGCACGTGGCGGGACGGACGGACCCTGCTGCAGGACCAGGGGCCTGAAATAAAGCTATTGCAGAGCAAAAGGTGGAACGGCTGGCTGCGAGCGCAGCTCCCCATCCCACAGCATCAGCACTCGGAGGCTCTCCAGCTCTCCCTGCCTGCTCGGCCACGCGCTGCGGGAGGACGATGACTTTGCACGGGACAGGACGTGAATGGGCTCCATCCGTGAGTTAATCAGCAACGGCCCCGGATGTGCTCACCATGCAGCTGCCAGCAAAGCCAGCTCACAAACGCCTCAATCATTAAATGAGCCCCGCGCAATCATTACCCACGCCGTCCCCCTGCCCTTTGCATCCTCTTCCAGTCCTCGTGCGGGTTTTAAAGCCTTGGGCACAGAGGTTTTAAGAAGAAGGGCGCCAGGGCCGCGAGGCTGAGCCCTGCGCACCCAGCGTACTCACACTCCTTCATCATCCCAATGTCCACGCAGCGTTTCAGCCGGCAGGCCTGGCAGTGCCGCCGGTTGTCCTTGGTGATTTTGCAGTCCCCGTTGAACGGACAGGTGAACATCGCTTTCCTCTTCATGCTTCTCCTGCAGAGGAACAGGAGGGGAGAAAAAAAATCAACAACACACCCTGGGTCACACAGCGCTGTTTGAGGTGCACGAGGGATGCTCCAAGCAGCCGGAGGGGGAGACGCGAGCGCAGATCCAAGTGTCTGGACAGCAAAACTGCTGGAGAAAGGCTGCTGAGAGGGGACGATTGACCTGACACCCAGCAGCTCAGCTGGGCTCTTGGAAAGGCTCAACTTGGAAGGTGTTGTGCGTGCACATTTGGGTTTGATCTTCCAGGTCTGGACAGCATGGAAAAGGTGCCCTCAAAAGGACGCAGCCTGAGGGCTCAACACCACTGAAACGGCTTTCTGGTTTCACGTTGTTTTGAAGCCCAAGAGGAGGAGGTGGAACTGTAGAGAAATGTCCACCCAGGGACAGAGAAACCAGAGGACAGAGCAGCATGTACTAAAGCAGCGTTATTAAACATTTACCAGCCTTTAAAGCCTGGCTTTGCTAGAATAACTGGCTGGAGTGCATGCTTGCATGTGCACGAGAAAAACCTCACTGCAGGACATGAGAGAAACAACACTTAACATAATAACCTCTTTTCCACCAAAACCACACCGTGCCACGTTAATCCGCTGCTACGATCAGGACTGCAAAGCTTCCAAGTACAAAGGGTCAAAGCCACAGGTCCCAGCTACAAGCTCCTGATATCCACTAATGACACACTGCAGGACAACTGAGTTTGGCCATTCAGGGTGGTTTCGGCGATGCCACATCTCTGCTTTGGAGAAAGCGACTCGATGATCTTCCATCGGCGAGCAAGGCTTATCTTTACGTGCATTTCTACACACAGCACTCATTTTAAATGAAGATGTGAGTTTGAATGGAGGCAAACCGAACCCCCGGGCTGGAAATGAAGTGATCAGAAGGGCAAACGCAGCAGAAAAGCACACAGAAAGAGAACAGCACCGAGACACAGCTGGAGTACAACAGTGAGAAACCAAACCGCCTGAAATTAACGCCCCCAAATGGAGTCCTGCAAGGAGGAGCAGTGATAAAATGCTCTTGCAATGCCAAGTGGACGCGGTCCTGAGCTCCGTGGGCACAGGACAGGGATCTCCAGCCCAGGAGCAGCGCCAGGGCTGTGCCTCTAGGGTATAAATACACACGGTGCTCCTGGGCTGCAGACCCGTGAGGGTGCAATTAGAGGCTGCTTTCCAAACGGAGATGTAAACAGCCAGGTTTCACCCTCCTCTCACCTCACAGATGTGTAAACGCATCTGGGGAAATGAATTCAGGAGAAGCTGATGGCGGAGCCTCCAGCACCTGCCTCCGCAGCCCTGACTCTGCGTTCTGCCTTACAGCTGGGTTTTGGTTTGACCGCTTTTCTCTGGGTTTTCCCCTTCTGCTAAAACCAGCATCGTTCCAGGAACGAGGACAAACACTGCCCAGCCCAGGGGCAAAGCAGGGTTTGCAACCAAACACCCCTCAATCCCCCAGTTTCGGTGAACAAATCTTTGTAATTTTTGGGTATCTGGAGCAGCGTCTTCTGCCCCACAGCCCAGGGCAAGGCTGGGGAGGGCACGAACAAGAGGAACGCGAGGCCCCGGAGCGGGGAAAGCTGCACCGTGTGCAAGCCAACATTGTGGTTTTGGAATGAAAATTGCAGCTTATTTGAACCCAGGGCAGCGGGGCACAACGGAGGGTTTCTGAGCAGCGTTTCCCTGCCCTGGGGTCGGCGGCCCCGCAGCGCCCAGCCTTGCATCAGCAGAGCGAGCGCAGCCGTCTGGCTCCGGTGTATTTTTGTACAGCCCCACAAGTGGCCATTTCAGGGCTCATTTACAGCCCTGTCCCAGGCAGGATGTTAAATATAACCTTCCCTCCCTGCACTGAGCTGGCGGCAGTAAACAAAGCCTCAGCCGGGGATGGGGAAGGAAGGCTGCAGGGAGTCTGGGGTCACCCGGATCACCCCAAGCTCTGCCCGTGCTGTGGTGGGGAAGCGGGGAGAGAATTTCCACCAGCGTTGCCCCAAATTGTGGCTGGGTGCTTGCAGAAGGAGGGATGGAGGCTGCAAAGCCTGCCTATGGGACTCCCAACCCACAGGGATGGGCAGAGCTGCGCTGAGCCCCACGGCGCTGATCTTTGTGCGAGTGAAGTGGGATCTCAGCGCACACGGCTCTCACACTGACGGAGCCCACGTGATGCTGCAGGTCCCAAAAGCAGCCCTGCTCCTCACCAAACCCCACTGCAGCCTTTCCGACTCCACATTTCAGTTGCAAGCCCTGTAAGCAACACTGGGATTCATTTTGGCACTGCCTTTACCCACGAAACAGGGTGAAGCTGTCACACTTTGGGGTTAAATAATTCTTATTTCTTCCTCGCTTCCTCCAAGCCCCCAGGGAAGCCCAGCATCAACAGCAAGTCCAACAGCTTTGGCCCTCCGGCACCATTCTCATTTTCTCTCCCAAATCCCTCTGGGAGCCGTCAGCCACCTCTTATCCCAACCTGTCTTTGGAGACCCCTTGGAACATTTTTGTTGGGCAACAGGCTTTAGGATGAGCCCTCGAAGCAAGCTGAGGAGTAAGGCTGCTGTGCCTGGTTTCTGCTGCTCACTTTCTACCACTTAAACCAGCATTTTGGCGCATCCAAACCATTCTCACCTCGGCCAGGTGCACATCTCCTGCTGGATGCACAACCCCCAAGGTCTGGCATCACTCCTGGACTCTGCATTACGTGGATTTCAGCCTCCTTTCTCCCATGCATAGAGTCATAAAGGCTGGAAAAGGCCACTAGGATCCACCAGTCCAACCATCAACCCATCACCACCACGCCGTCAACTCAGCACCACTCACAACCCAAGCAGCAGCTCGCAGGTTGCCTCCTTGCAGCAACAGGAACAGGAGGACAACACAGCAGGATGGAGACTGGAAGCTGAACGGCTCACGGCCCCGGGGATTTATTTCAAAAGAAAAGAGGAATTCATCTCCCACTTCCATGGAGAACAGGGCAAAGACCAACTGGGGAGGATTACAGGAGTGGGAGAAACGGTGATGCAGACAGGATGGGTGGGGAGCTGCTGGGTTTTGAAACACGCAGAGCCTTTCCGAGCAGCTCTGCTATGAACACCCAGTGTCTCTGCGCTGGAACTTCAGAATAAACCAGAGAAACTGCGGATGCTTCAGCCAAGTCGCAGCAGAATAAATCACTCTGGCTTAGATGCATTTTAAGAGCCCCTGAGCAAACAGCAGAGCTCAATAAAAGGCCACTGTTGCCGTTGGCATCATTAATAAACGGCAGACTTTGAAGCCAGCGGCCAAAGGTTGCCTCAGGGCTGTTTGTGCTGCAGCTTAGGTGCACGTTTGAGCACCCAGAGGTGCCAGTAAATTCCTAATGCCTTTTATAGAGCCGTGAAACCCAGGTCCTGATTTCATGCTGGGGAATCGTCCACACAGATACGACCCAAAGCAGCTGGGTGAAGTTCCTTCACCCCAGGTTTTGCCACTGCAGCCTGGAATCCCTTCACCCCCTTTGTTCCTTCCAGGCTCGATTCTGACTTGCAAGGCAGCCACCAGGAATTGGTATCTGTGCAGTGGCTCTTCAAAAACCTGCTCAGGGAGCTAAAACCAGCAAGTGCACATAGGAACAAAGTGTTTGTGGTCTGTGCAAAGGGAGGCGTAGATTTTCTGGGTGAGTTTTAAGGGGTCCAGCTTCCCCCATAGCAGTGCTGTGGTGTTTTCAGGCAGAAAGCACCTGCATACTGTGGTAGCAACAAGGATTACTCCATTCACCGGTTCTAAATAGCTTGTAAACAAGCCTGGTTGGGCAAGAAAGAACACACCAAGACCCAGCATGGGGACGGCGTGCCTGGAAAGCAAGATGAAGGAAAAGTAGAGCCTTAAATTGAAAATCAAGGCCTTATAGGGGGCATGAAGGGCTAGCTGACGACGAGTGCTTTTCACACCATTAAAACATCTGCTCAGAAATGCTGCTGCAGCTGCGTGTCGTACATGATTGCACCAGCAGAGATGGGGAAGCAGCAGAGTGCAGAGGAGGGCTGACAGCGTTAGCAGCTGCCCTGCAGCCAGTTTAGGACCAGCCCCATCCACCCCACGGCCACCGCAGGCACGGAGGGGACAGGGAAGCTTGGGGCCACCAAACCAGAGCGTGAAGGGCAGCACCTGAAAGCAGAGTTACTGACTGAGCAGCAGGAATTGAGGAAAATGTCGTTGCTCAGGTTGGCCAGGCTGCGGTGTGTGAAAACCTCCATTAGCCCCAAAATTCCTGCCAGGGGAGGAGCTGTGACTTCGCACTGCAAACCTGTGCCCCGGTTGCTGTCACAGCCCTGCTGAACACACAGCGCTGTGCTCTGGTGTCTGCAGCCCACTGCCTCCATCTCATTGCAGCACACGGTGCTTGAGCAAGGCTCTCCCTGCCAGTCCCACGCCAGCCATTATCTCTCCTCGTCTCTCTTAGTCATTCTCTCACTTGGTGCAAGCGACCTGAATTCCCACGTGAATGGTTTGACACCGTCAGGGCAAGCGAGCCACTAAAACACCCACCAACTCACAGCTCATCAGGCCCTCGGATGGTTTTGCCTTCGTTAGGAGCAGCTGCAGACTAGGAGACACTCACCTGGCGGCTGAAAAAAGCCTCAAATCAGCTGCAAACAAAAACTACAGCTGTTCAAACTCCCAGACCGCCGGCTCTGGGTCTGCTCTTCCCAGCCCAGGCTCACGCTGGAGGCTGGCATGCTCCTATCTATGCAGCATGTGAAGTCTGCAAGGCTCCTAACAGATGGCTGACAGCCCCTGGTAGCCACAAGAAGGGAAATACAGGGGAAACACCTTGTGGGGTCTGAATTATTGAGGACACATTGGCTGCCTGCAACGCAAAGCCTTGCAGGGCTGCACCCTGAGCACCAGCAGCAGTCAGCATGTGGGGTGGGAATCTTTGCTCAGCTCACCTGAAGAAGCCCTTGCAGCCCTCGCAGGTCATGGCGTTGAAGTGGAAGCCGGTGGCTCTGTCCCCACACACCCCACAGATTCGGGGCACGTTGCGATCAAACTCAGCAGCCGGGTCTGGGAGGGATGTGCTGGCAGCCATGGTTTCCATCTCTGGAGGGGCAGAGGAAAGCAGCGTTTGTGGCAGCTGTCACAGCTTTACAAGAAGCAAATCAGATGCAAATAAAGGTGTTGGTTTTGGTTTGTTTTTTTTTTGCAATGTGACAAGAAAAGCTTCTGTGTTCCTCTGGCTCTACATCATGACACCATCACCAAGCAGGATCACAGCACGTGTTTGTGGATCTGCCCGGTGAGGGCAGGACCGACCCCCACAGCACAACGTGCTCACGTTCATTTGCTGCACTTCAGCAATCAGACCCCAACAGCCCACTTCCAAACCCCGATCCTTTCTCCTCCACTCCTTCGCACTTGGCTCCCAAAAAACGAGCCTTGAAAGAGGCCAAATTCACCCAAAGCAGAGATGCAAAACCGCAGGGGAAGAGGTCACAGCCGGAGCAGAATTTCCCCCATGCAGACGGGAAGCAGCGCCAGCACTGCAGCAGCTCCCGTAAGTCAGACAAATCCCAAACACAAATCCAACGAGCATTGTTCCACAAATCCTCAAAGGGGCAGAAAGAAGGCAGGAAGGAAATGGGGCTCCCAGTGCAGAGCATGTGAAGCTGAAAGCAACGCCGGAACGGAGCTTGGCAAGGGCTGTTTTCCTGGCTGCTTCTCTTCTCCTTTTCCCCTTTTTTTTCTTTGCCTTTTCCCTTTCTTCCCCTTTCCTTTTTCCCTCCTTTCCTCCCCTCCCATTTCTTAAAACTATTTCTTTATTTTAAAGGCCATTCAATGCTTTCTCGAGAGGCACCACAAACAGCTGCTGCCTCTTTGGCTCCACGCCGCTTTCTTGAGCCTCTCAGCTGATGCTGGGGATTTCCTGCATAAAACACCATCAGACAACGAAATCTGGCACAAAAGTGAGTTAAAAAACCCCAAAAGAATCGAGAACTAAGAGCACAGCTCTTCCATTTAAGGCTCAGTATGAGTGTACCCAACTGCTATGGCTTGATCCCAGGGCAGCCCAGGCTCCTCTCAGCCCCGTTGAGGTGCAGTGGTTCTGCACAGCTTGCACACACATGGAGGAATGGCCATGGGGCACCTGGAGCCCAGAGCTGCTCTGGGAGCTTTCAGTCCTTGGTTTCACACCCGCCTTAATGGGAGCTCAGCACAAACAACGCTCTGAGAGCCTTCAGAGAGGAGTTCTAATCTGCTAAGCTTGGAGAGAGAGAGAGAAAAGAAACAGGAGGAGGATCCTGCAGGTGGGGTTACCTGCATCGGGGAGATACGCCATGCTTTGCTGGTCTAAGTCCCAGGAGCTGCACAGCTGAGACATGGAGACACCTGCAAGGAAGCACAGCGTGCAGTGAGACGGCCCAAGGGAGAGCACCCACCCCACAGCCCCCTCTGCACCCCACGGGGGCACAAAGAACTGCCCCACACGGCACAGCGCCGGGAGATGTCACAGCTCTGCATGCAGACACGTTGCTAAGGGAGCAGGGAATGCATTGCAAGGGCACAGGGAGGAAAGGACACAGCGAGGGAAGCACGGCGCGGGCCGTTCACCCCAGTGATGTTTCCCCATCAATCTCCATCCCACCATTCTGCCCGTCAGGCGTCCGGCGCCGTGCGATGGCGCAAAGCAGAGCCAAATGGCTGCTATAAACGTGGGGCATCACAACAGCGGAGCACGACTCCTCAATGTCAATGGCATCGATGTCAGTGATGAGAGCTGAGGATGGGGATTTTGCTCCCGCTTGGCATCACTTTGCTCTTTCAGCCTGCAGAAGGGGAATCATCACAACGGCACCGGGCTGACAACGGACGGGGCAGAGCCAAGAGGAGGCTTTAAGATGCTTTGCCTTCCTGAAGTTCTGCTGTCTTACAGCAGGGAGGGGGGTTTAGGTTTGTTCTCACCGCAGCACAAACTCAGAGCGCAAACTCGAGCACCACAAAACAGCGCAGCCTGCAAATACCCCCAGGCATCCCTGGATGCTTCCCCAGCGCTCAGTGCCGTTCCTCACTCTGCCAGCCCTTCCCAGGGCCACGCATGTGGATGCTGACACCTCCAGGGTGGGGAAAAGAGGCGCTGATGGCACAAAATCACCATCGCGGAGCTCCCCCACATCCCTGGCCAGCTCTCAGCTAAAGGAGAGCAGGCAGCAATGAGATCAGCAGCAATGCCAGGCATTTCCCCACGGGATGCAGCTCTAAGCTGCCATCTCTGACTTCTTGGAAAACGTTACTCAGCCCCATCATGGAAATGACGTCGGTGTGGGGTGGAGCGCATGGAGGAGTTTCCCTCCGCCCCCGTGAAAGGTCGCTCATTCATCAAACGTGACATTTAGCCTTCGCCTCCTGGAAGGAGCAAAATCATTTGTTGTAAAAGCGCCGACTTCTTCCAAGCGGGCACCTGAAAGGTCAAACTCATTTTGCAGCTGGTTACAGCAAAACGACAGCAGGTTCTGTCCCAGCAGAGCCCAGGGCTCGGCCCCAAAACAGCTGCGCTGTGCTGAGCTGCAGGTTTCACAGAGTCACAGAACGGTTGGGTTGGAAGGGAGCTCAAGGATCACGGAGCTCCAACCCCGCTGTGCCACGCAGGGCCACCAACCTCCACATTTCAGGCTGCCCAGGGCCCCATCCAGCCTGGCCTCCAACACCTCCAGGGATGGACGGGGCATCGCAGCCTCTCTGGGCAGCTGTTCAGCCCCTCACCGCTCTCACAGCACAGAACTGCCCTGACATCCAGCCTCCATCTGCCCTCCCTCAACTTCCAACCATTTCCCCTCGTCCTGCTCTCATCTCCCCTTTCACAAATCTGACTCCCCTCCTGTTTGTCGGCTCCCTTCAGGCACTGCAGGCTGCACTGAGCTCAACCCCCAGCCTTCTTTTCTCCCTGCTGAACGAGCCCAGCTCCCTCAGCAGGGCAGGAGCCGTCACGTTTCCGGCGCTGCTTTTTGCTGCTTTGTGCACAGTTCTGCAGCTCCAAGAGGGCTGCACTCGGCGGCTCTCCCCCCTGGGATGCAGCCAGGTGACACCGGGGGGAAGAAGCAGCGCACAGCCGAGCTCAGAAGACGTGGGAAAAGCTCAGCTGTGGAGACACGAGCAGGGAGAGGAGCAGCGGGTGGCCAAGCGCCGCAGCTCCCAGCTCCGCGCCGGCCTCCTACTAAGCAACGAGTTATTTGGGACAGGGCTGCAACAGATCCCTGTTATTTGGGACAGGGCTGGGATGGATCCCACAGATATGGGCAGGGAGGATGTGGCAAGGCTGACCGGGGGCTGCCCGCCCCACCGCTCCCTGTCTCACCCCTGGGCTGAGTCACAGCAGCACCGACGGCTCACCTGCGTGCAACCGACGCCATGGAAGCATCCTTCCACTGCACGGTCCTGTGCTGCTGCGGGTGCAATGTGAACCCCAGGGTGCTCAGAGGGAGCAGCAGGGAGGCTGAGAGGGGCTGGAGGGGGGCTGAAGGCATCTGCAGGGAGCGGAACGTCTGCACAAAGCGCTTCAGGAGGGGTTCGGTGCTCCTCAAATATAACCCAGCTGGAAGGAAGCTGTGTGAAGGCACAGGTCAGAGCTGGGACCTCTGCTGGGGGTGCTGGATTCACCTGTTCTACTGGGAAGCACACGCACAGCATCTGCTCCTTTTCCTCCTCCTTAAAAGCAAAGGACCCTCCTTCGGGCTCAGTGTCACTTCTGAGCCCCCCCCCCCGTGACCCCTCTGACAGGCAGCGTTCTGCTGAAGTATTTTCTCATGCTTTGTCACTTTCCTTTTTCTCCTGCCAACTCGCCGTTGCAAAACCCACGACTCGCAGCTCCTCCAGACTTGGCAGAGGGGAAAAAGGCCCTGGAGAAGGACTGCTCCCACCGACAGCCTGAGTCACCCGCACAGCAGCAGGTTTCCTTCCCAGCTGCCGTCTGACAGCACGTTTCTGCATCAGCTGCGAAGCAAAGGAGCCGGAGCACAAACCTCACGGAGGGACACAGCTCAGCAGCCATGGCTTCGGCTGCCCCACGCTCAGTCAATGCAAAGAGCCAGAAATGCAGAAGCCCAGGATAGAAGAACCTTTGCAGGAACGGTCTGTGGCTTTGCATGCATGCGAAACGCGGCGTGCTGAAGGCAGCGGTCCTGAAGCTGGGGGGAAAACAGGAGATTGCAAGGGAATGGGAGCCCGTGGGCTGCACGTGGTGGGGTCGGATCCCTCGCACCTTGCACTGAACGCATTTACACCTAAAAGACAGAGCAGGAATTCGTCCAGCCCAGGGTCCCAGGGTGAGGAACTTCCCTCTGGGCCAGGAAGGCTCCGACTTTGGGGGGAACACTTGGGGGAGATCCGAGCCCTGCCCAGGCAGCAGAGGGGACATCTCAGCACAGAGGGTTTCAAGTCTGCAACGTTTGGAGACCGACATCCTTCAACAACTCCAAGATGCAGAAAATAAACCACAGCGATGCCACGAAAGCATTTGTCATGTTCTCAGCATCTTTGTTTTGCGCTGTTGGGTTCATCGCTTTGCCAAGGAAAACAAAAGCTTTCCCCGCTCAGCCTGGAAGGAGCAGGATGGCTTCTGAAACCTCCATAAATCCTCAGCCCAGCGCTGCTCTGAGTGCTGCTGAAGGCTTTGCTGAGCCTTGGAAGAGACCCATTCACTCTCAGGGAGGCTTCACTATTTTCCTGGCTCTCACGCTCAATTAACACCTCTGTGACACGTCAAAACAAAGCGATGCTCCCTGAGCCTCTCCAGAGCCTCTGGCAATGCGCTTGAATCCCAAGAATCTTTCCCAGTACAAATCAGCCTATTCAAAGCATCCAGTCGCAGCACGCAGGCAACCCCCTTTCCCTATTAAAGAGGCAATTAAATCATTTCCTTCTGTAGCTCCAGGGAGCCCCGTTGCTCCGCTGCTTTCCACGAGATTTATTAGGCAGCTGACTGACAGCCTCCTGGGAAGAGCAGGCACGGCCTCCACGTGCACACTTGGAGCTCAGCACCGCTCTGCGGATGCAGCCCCATGCAGTGCACGTGGATGGATGCTCTGTGATACCTCCTGCGCACAGGGACCAGCACCAGCCTTCCCAACTCACAGAATCATAGAATCACCAAGGTTGGAAAAGACCTCCAAGCCCATCCAGTCCAACCGTTCCCCCATCACCAACAGCTCCCACTGAACCACGGCCCTCAACACAACATCCAGCCTTTCCTTGAACACCCCCAGGCTCGGTGCCTCCCCCACCTCCCTGGCATCCATTGCAGTGCTGCCCACCCTTTCTGCACAGCAATTCTTCCTCATGTCCATCCAATCTCCCCTGCCGCAGCTTGAAGCCGTTCCCTCTGCTCCCATCCCTGATGGCACAGAGCAGAGGCCGCCCCCAGCTCCCTGCAGCCTCCCTTCAGGCAGCCATAGAGAGCAATGAGTCCTTTTCCTTTTTCAGCACCAAACCTCAGAGAAACGCAGCAGGAAGAACAGCCTGACCTAAGGGGGGAGAAAACGACTGCATTTGCAGCAGCCCCAACCATCACAGATAGGAAAACAACAAGCAGAAGGGTGAAAGTCTGCTAACAGACAACACCAGCAGTGGGCACAGATCAAACGGGACCGTGTTGTTCCCAGGGAGAAAAGATCAGCACCTGCCCCTCTGAGAGGGGCTGAGTGCCATGGGCAGAGCTGTGGGGCTGCAATGGGGGGCTGAGTGCCATGGGCAGAGCTGTGGGGCTGCTATGGGGGGCTGAGTGCCATGGGCAGAGCTGTAGGGCTGCTATGGGGGGCTGAGTGCCACGGGCAGAGCTGTGGGGCTGCTATGGGGGGCTGAGTGCCATGGGCAGTGCTGTAGGGCTGCTACGGGGGGCTGAGTCCCCCCTGAGCCTCCTCTTCTCCATGCTGAACATTCCCAGCTCCTTCAGCCTCTCCTCATCAGCCCTGTGCTCCAGACCCCTCACCAGCTTTGTTGCCCTCCTTTGAACACGTTCCAGGGCCTCAATATCTTTCTTGCAGTGAGGGGCCCAAAACTGGACACTGGACACAGCACTCGAGGTGGGGCAGAACTCTGCAGTGGGGCAGAAAAATGGGAGAGAAGCACAGAGGGAAGGATGCAGCAAAGCATCTCCAGACCTGGGGCTCTTCTTCTGTCTGCATCAGCCAGGTGCCGGTGCCCCCTCCTCGGCCACGGGATCAGAATAAATCAAGTTAGAAGGGAGGGATGGTTGCTTTCCCAATGGATCAGAGGAACCCATTTCCCCCCAGAGTGGGGCTGGGAGAGTTCTCAGGCACAGGGGAGCACACGACCCACCAAACACATCTGGACTCCTTCACCCACAGCAACACGGCCTCAACGTGCACAGGGCAGCT